TATAACTTTTTAAGTGTGTTCTCTCTCCTATCCGCTACCATAAAACAAGTTATATTTCCAGGCGGCGTTAAATGTGAAAGTTGCATCACTAAGAATTCAATATATCTTACAACTGATTGATCGAAATTGTTTAAAATGTGTAAAAATAATACATTAATATATGTTTTTGATCGACATTATTTAAAATTTATACCAAAATATTAAATATAATATATCTTACAACTGGTTAGTATAAATTATTTAAAATTTCTACCTTGATTGCAGTATACGTATTCTTCAATAATTTACATTTAAGCTTTCTACTAGCAAACAGTGTTCATTTTGTCAGCGTTGCCTTAACAACCGTTCGTAAGCAATGAAGCGTACTCATTGTGCAGAGTTTTTTATTTTGTGAGACTCGTTTGAAGAGTTGATATTATAAAACTAATAAAAGATCAACGCCGTATTTTTCCCCACTTGGACTGAATAGTAATGACATTTCCTTAAGTTATTGAAAAGTTCCAATTATAAAACTCGAATGCAATTTATTTTGGAAATAATTTTGTGTTAGGTCATGACTAAGACTAAGAGTGAGAATCATGACATTGTAATTTGTAAGGAATGAAACACTAAATTTGTCATCAAAATAAGGTCAATGTCGATGAAACCTGATGTTAAAGATTAAATATCTCCGTCAAACGTTTAGCTCCGGTAAAAAAGAGTGAATACTTGTTAGAATTTTTTGTTCTATTTATAAAATTGTAGGAACTTAATTAAAGAGTAAGATGTTTAATCTCGTACAACTTAGACTACTAGTAGTATTATACTTATAGTGTGGCCTAATTTTAAGTTACTTTCCCCTTACTACAAGAAGGATATTAAAATATTGGAAAAGTATAGAACTAGAATAATACCTGGTTTAAATCATTTAAGAAATAAGGAATAAAGTTTTGGGCTTTTTATTTTATTATCTTGGAGCTGAGAGGAGTTAAGAGGAGTTTTGATTTTGGTGTTCAAAATTGTTAGAGGTTTGGAAAATCTTCCAGTGGGTGGTATATTCGAGTATGAAATGAGAAGGTTGGAAATGTAAAGTTAATTATTAACTTAAGGGCATAGTTTTGGGAAGAACAAGTGTAGATTTTTAGGTAAGAGGTAACCTCAATGGGCTGAAGAATCTTAGATTAGATTGTGTCACCATACTTGTTCTCATGTGGACCAAGATTGAGACTGATATGTATTGGGGACATTTTTGGGGAGAGTTTTTTTTTTTCTTCTATATTTGTGTTTACTTCATTTTTAATGTTTTATCTCACTGGTTGTGTTTTATATTGTCACTTTGCAGAATTTCCATTTATCTACATTTAATTTAACATGGAAACAGTCATACCATCAACATTTAGTGGTACATACCAATTTTCAAGTCCACCCAGACCCATTTACAAGCCCCTTTACTCCCCTAAAAAACCTTATAAGGAAAAACAAGATGAAAAGTAAGTTTTGTAGTACATTCTTTTGAATTATTCTAAGCAAAAAAATTAGATTATATTATGGTGGTTTTTAAATGATTTCTGAAGTAATTATTAAATAATTATTTTCAACTTGAGGTTATTATGAGTAACACTATATAAAGTATAAAATTACAATGTTATATAATGAAACTACTCATTTACAACCAAACAGTATTTGCAAATATTAGCTATAAAGTGTTTTCTTTTATGTCTTAAAAAACTAACTGTTGTGCTTGATTTTGAACAGAGAAAATATGTTCAAAAGTACATTATCCTAAACTTTTTTAATTTTCTCACAGTGAAGATGGGAAAATTCAATATGGAAATCTAATGTTTGATAGACGAGTGGTTCGTGGAAATACCTATGCACTTCAAAGACTGGCAAAGGCAAGAGACTTTCTGTTCAAATTTAAGTGTAAAAATTGTCTATTTTTATGTTACGCATCTAACTGTGTTTATTACTATGTAGAAAAATTATAGAAAAAATTTATCTGATGTAGTAAGTGGGCTGATAAATTCAGTATGATTAATCCCTACTCATATATTCAAAAGATTTTTACTATCCAACTCCACCTCAAGTTGTAATGCATTAAATTTAGTTGCTCTAAGTGTGTTAAAACATTATTCTTACTTATTCAATGAAGACATCTCTATTTGATCATTAATTACAAGCCTTTTCTGGAAAGTATACCCAGTTTGTTCCAAATACTAACAGTTATTAGAAAAATATTAACTGATATTTCGTATGAAATAAAAGAAACATTAGTTTTCACATATTACATCTTCTTGATGGTATTTTGTTTTGATTGGTTTTGAAACAAGCATTAATTATTCTAACATTAGCCACTGTGAGAGACTGTAAAATATTTTTTTCTGAAAATAAAAAAGAATTAAAGGGCAAAAAAGCAGATTTGGTATACCTTTGTATATTTGAAGCTGACAGAGTGCCACATAATGACTGGTTGAATGGCATGAAGTTTGCTGATGTTAAAGTTTTCGCTGTAGTTCACTGTGAAGAAGATGTAATTTTTTTACAAGGTGATTTGGATCATCTTGCAAAAAAAATGGCAAATGGCATTTAATTATGCTAAGTGCAAGATAATCCATGTTGACTACCTTAATTTAAACTATAATTACAATTATAATGGCAATAAAATCAATAGTGTGATGGTAGAAGAATATTTAGGTGTTTTGATCAGTTTCTTAAGATTTGCAGACATTGTACTATTGCCAGTGGGAAAGTGACTGGAGGAATGTTGAATACAAGTTAAAGGAGATTATCATTTCTTTGTACAGATCCGTGTTTAAACATCATTTGGGATATTTTGTTTATTATTGAACTCCTTACTTTTATAAGAAGGACATTGAATTGTCAAAAATGGTTCCAAGGATGGCTACTAGGATAACACTAAGGTGAAATACACATGCTTTTAGTATTTTATTGATGTTCTATTTAAAAATACATGATATTTTGTTGCATTTAATGTTATTATTGCTAAGTTGTTAGCAACAAATGAAGATTATTGGCATTTGGTATTTTGGACCAGAACATTGTATACAATACATGGGCTAAATGGCCAGGTTCAGGTATAGTTGTTCCTCATTGTGAACTACTGTCTAGAGGAAACAAACCAGTGAGGAGCATCCTCTGCCTATGATGAACACAATCATAGTGCAGGAGTGTGTTCAGAAGCATATCAGAATGTGAATTTTAAACCCTATGATCTGCAATTAGGCATTCTAACATTAGGCCATTTCCAGCCTGAAATCCAAGACAACTGTGTTGACATAGCCTTTTACAAAACTACATATTACATATATATATGTTACATACAGAAACAACTGAAGGCTAAAAAGAAAATGTTGCAAACACCTGACTATAAAATCAGGTATTATAATTATTACATAGTAATTTAATGCAACATTTGTTACATGAATTTATGCAGACAACAAGTTATCATTTTTAGAAACTGATAAAACACAAAATTGATAATTGAAAAAATTATAAAAATGGGATAACAGAATTAAATACCTTTTGTGTCTATAAACTATAAAAATCTAATGAACTATGTAAACAAAGTTCAAAACACAGATGTCAAGAAAAGAATGATCTTATGCATTTATTAAACCCAGATATGTTGAAACTGCTACTCCAATGGATTATACATGTTGGCATTCATGAGACTTATGTATAAAGTTTCTTTTAAGCTTTTGAATTTTCTATGGTCACTTTATAGACATCTGCATTTTCTCACTTTTTGTAGCTTTAAAAATACTCTTAAGATTTTGCAAAATTCTGCTCAAACATTCACTTTCCAATCAGTTTTGGTTGTTATGTATATTGAATTTATATGAAACAGATAAAATATATGTACTACAATAGTATATGAATGCTAAATTTGTAATAACATAATTTATTTGAGTTTTACATCCAAAAAGAAAAGTTTTTTGATGTTATTTAAGAAATTTTGTTTATTGACAAACTAAACCCAAATAACTACGAAACATACCATAGAGAAATATAATGAATAATTATTGAATCTTCCAAGCTATGTAAATATCAGAATGTAATTCAGGAACAGTACTTATCTCTCTGGACCACTAAGAACTATTACCTTGCATGCATCTGCTGTGTAAATTCCTGCACATGCCACGAGCCTTCAACAAACTTACACCACTATAAATATCTATGTGTATTGTGCCAGCCTATGATATAATTTTCATAACGTTGTAGCCCTCCATCAATAGGAGGGCAACACAACCTCTATGTGCAGTAATCCTTGTAGCGCTAGCATATGATTATAAGCTCATTCTTTCCTTGCCACTTCCCATATTCGTATGTGTTTGTTTCTTCCAGTGTTTATTTTTAGTATCTCGTCACATTGATCTGCTGCCTTTCATTACTTAGTTGTACATTACTTTTGTCTTAATTGCTCTTTTGTTCTATCCACCTGATTGCAACTTTGTTTTTTCTAGCCACCACATTTCTTTGAGCTACTTCAAACAATGATTGCAAATAAAAAATAGATAAATAAATAATATAAAATACATAATCAGAGGTCCAGTTGTGTCTCTTCTGGTATTTTCTCCAATTATGTCAAATGCAAACACAGGTATCTTGTCTGTTCATGGAGCTGATGTTCAGTAATTATCCTTGTTGCTCACTTAGTAGAGCAATGCATGGCATGTGACAGGTCTTGGACTTCATTGTATGTTGAGGTGCTCTGAGTACAGTGTACATATAAAATGACCATGAACCTATAGGATTGTGTTGAATCATTTGTTATGTTTTCAAACATGATGTTACCATTATCATGCATCAGGTGGCTGGAACCCTTATACCTACTTCCTCTCCAGTTCATCTTTCTCTCCCTATCTGTCATGGTGGCTAATTTGCTCCAACTTGACCCAGTGTATTTCATCTCTCCACTTGACTTGCATCTTTACACTGATGCTTTCTTTTATGTTTGGGGGCAGTTCTTGACACCTCCACTCTCTCTGGGGTCTGGTCTCCAGTGGAGCAATCTTTGCTTATCGACATTCTGGAGATTTTTGTAGCCTTTTGGGCTTACAAACATCTTCAGTTACAGTTGTCATGATGATTGATTCTGACATGTCTATGGTCATTTCTTACATCACTCACCAGGAAGGCATCCACTTTTGGGACCTATTCTTTTTCATAATCCCATCTGTTTCAATGATTACCAGTTACTGAACAGTGTTATCCACACATTTTACCTCTTGCTCAGCATTATTCTCATTCTTTTGGTTGCTTTTTTCCATGTAGTTACTCATGGTTATTTTCTTTGAAACATTCATGCTTTGCCTCCTGCTGTCTTCTATATATAGAGGACATAATAGGTTTTAGAACTTTTAATAGACTGCAATTGCCTGTTGAAAGCAAAGGAGACAATGTTTTGTCTTCTCTACTGAAGCCTTTTTCAGGTTACTGTTGGTACTTGTAACATCTTATAAAGGTAAGCACAGCCATGTGATAAAGCCCAGGCTGTGTGGGTTGAGCAGGTGTGGCGATTGGTGAGTGTTGTCAGTAGGACTGTGATATCATCATATTATCTGTAGAGTTTGTTAAGGGTGATTTTCCCCATGTTGCTAATGTGCAAACCTTTGTCTCTATTCAGTTCAGGTTGGTGTGGTTTGATGTAGATAGCTTCTTTGACTTCTGTTTGATATCTATCTAAATTCTTATGCTGATCCCAGTTTATGTTATGTCCTGTTTAGAATTTATGTTCAGTCAAGGCCAATTTATCTGGCTGTATTAGTCTGATTGTGTTTTTATGTTCTTTTAACATTTGTTCAATCATCCTACCAGTTTCTCTAATGTAATTGCTGCTACATGAATATGGTACTTCGTAGATGAGTTCTATTTCTTTGAACTTGTTGGTTGGTTGTTTCTCTTTAGTAGGGAGATTTTCTAGACATTTTCCTGCTTTGAAATGAGTTTCAGCATTAAATTTCCACCAAATCTTTTTAAGTTTTTCAGTGAACTTAGAATGTAGAAAAGTATGGAAAGTATTAAACCCATCTGTGTCTACTGTTGAGATGGGTTTTTCAGTGAGACTGCTTTGGTACTATATCTTTAGAATTGACAATGCAGTTTCTGCACTTTTTAAAATGAAAAAAAAAGACCCAGTTGTAGTCCTGCCCTTACACTTGGCTCACACTTGTTGTCTTCTGATATGATATATACCTTCCGTCACACAAAAGCTTTTCCCGATCTTCATCTACCCTCTAATGCATTAATTTTTTTTAAATATTTTTTCTTTACTCAGTAGCTTTTATACTCCCTCAGTTCAAGCTGCTCATTTAGCATGCATAGCACATGCCACGACCCTCCACCAGTAGAAGCACAACACACACTTCTGGAGTAGCTGGCTCTCTAGTATTGCATCTCAAGTACCTAACTTTCTTGATTGGCACTAAACGAGTCGGACATGTTTCTTGCTTAATGTCAGTTTTCAATACTGATTACACATGATATTTTTTCAATGTGTGTGCTTTCATTCTATCTTTCATTCTTTCATGATACCGATTTTGATTCTCTGTTTCACACACATTCTTGTGTTTTCTACATTTCTGATTTCTTATGGTTCCCAACATGGTTACTGGTGATTCTGGGAATACACTTCTTTTTCTTACCCAGGCCAGGTGGTTAGGGCCCTCAACACGTAATCTGAGGGTCAAGGGTTCGACTCCTCATACCACCAAAGATGCTTGCCCTTTCAGCCTTGGGGGCATTATAATGTGACAGTCAATCCTACTATTCGTTGGTGAAAGAGTAGCCCAAGAGTTGGTGGTGAGTGGTGATGACTATCTGCCTTCCTTCTAGTCTTACACTGCTAAAGTAGGGACAGCTAGTGCAGATAGCC